CACAATTTTTTTTATTTTTAAGAACCAGACACCAAAGAGTCACAATCATCAGAAAGTGAAGCCCCGTTTCTGTAAGGCGGTAATCATACAGCAGAATACCTAACAATTTGAAACCGCGTATATGTTCACGATACGACTTTTAAAGCTCTCGATAAGGCTTGTGTGCGTTGTTGGAGGTGATGTTTCTTTGATGCGCAGCATTCATTTCTGCTGAATATAAAGCATTATTTGTAAAAAAAAAGAAAAACCGACAGCGCCTGCTTTACTATGCGGCAGTTTGATGTGCATGTCATAGTCGCCGCGATCAGGCCTTTGAATAAGATTATTATTTCCCGTTTAACGCACTGAGGGCGGGGGCAGACAAAGACCACTATAATTACGGTATTACAAATTGGGCTTATAGGAGGTAATGGCAAGCCCAGTCCTGTCACACTGCTGTCCTTTTGTATAAAAAGACATTGCGCAAGAGGGGTCATCCGCAGCTCGAGATTTCCCACTCACTAAAACATAATTGTGACCTGGATCATTTCCATGCCTTTTTATCCCTAGCCTAGCTATTGTATGTGCCTACACCTCAATCGCTGTGCATTTGACAGCATTAGCAGTTGCGACTTGCCGACGATAACGGGAATGAAAGCGGCCACGCTGAATAATTGCCAGAGGAAATATGTATCCCGATGCTGTAGCCGGCGAGCGTTTCTACTCAATGTCCACGGGTATTGTTCTTTAGGAAAATGGCAGAGGGTGTTGGGATGACGAAATATTCCCATCCCATCAGTGCATGAGCCACCCACAGATGATGTGGGAAGGCTGTTTGGAGTACGGCTTGCGGTTAGCCACATTTAATGAGCTCACATTGAGCTACGCGAACATCCGTGCACGATGTCATTTATTAACAGTCTTAAATGCTGTGCTAAAAAAAAAACCCAGCAAATTGGAAGTCGACCGGTAGAGCTCTCATGAAGGCGTCTTGACACTCGGAGGAGACCGAGTAGCACAGGACGGCGGGTCACAGGAGTCAGCAGACACCACCGATATCCTGGGTTGTGATCTGGGCAGCCGCCCCGATGAAGCCGGACTATCGACTGTCGAGTTTCGCGAGTTTACGGTCCCACCAATGGACTGCGTGCAAATAAAACCGATCATATTAACTCCCTCGTACATCTCTCTATTTATAACATCAGCTCAAGCCTCCTGTAAATCACGTGACCTCGGTGTGGCCAGCCTCCACTCTGACCGCCTCCCCTCGCCGCCCCCCGCGAAAACAGACGCCGCTCCTCCTTGCAGCTCACTCCTGCTCGCTCCTTCCTTCTCTCTTCTCCCTCTCTCCCCTATCATCATCATCATCAGCATCATCACCCTCTCATCCCCGACATCTTAGCCCGGTCATTCCTTCTGCCCGTCCTGTCTTTCCTACCCTCCCTTGGTGTGCCACGGGTAAAACGTTGTAGCAAATATTAAAAGTAAATCTGACCAAAAAAATGTGGTTTAAGTGCTACTTTAGGAGGCAGAGGAACTCCCCCATGTGTTGATAAGTGTCCTAGAATTTACAGTCATATATATGTATATCACCTGACCCCCACACTGAACATGAAGCATGAGTGGATTTGATTTGGTTTTGCACTTAATTTCGCGAAATTACAGCTCCGTGACAAACATGCTTTTTTGTTAAGGTTCTCATAAAATGTGTGACCTTAGTGGGGACGACGAGGCGGGCCTATTGCCGAGACCCCAGACGTCGTTCGTTGACGTCATATTCAGGACCATTCTCTGACAAAATGGTGACGTGAGCTGCGAGAGGTCTCAATGGCAAATTCATCTCACCAGGGCATGATGCCAATAGCGGCACAATTGGAAAATGATTGAGGGGATAAAAGCGTTTAAAAATAAGCCTTAACACCGTCTTTTGTCAGTAATAAAATATATATTGTCCATGACTTACCACATTCCATGTATATATAATTGAATAGTACTGCCTTGAAAATATCTGCTTGGTTATTTTAACCCTAAATGGAACAGTTATGATTAATGCCAAGCACAGTTAAAGTCGCCTTCCTAGCTGTGGTTTGTGTTTCTGATGAAGCAAGATTATGATAAGAAAAAAACCTACAGACAAGGCAATTTGATTACCCCTTGTTTAGGTGTTATGTGAAAATTTTGCTCTGCAATTAAATCAAATGATGCCGATAGACTTTGGGTGGTGCAGATTGAGTGAGCCGTTTCCTCTAGGCACCCAATTTCCAAGTAAATGTAATCTTTTCTTCAGAGACTGACTAGAACTGAATAGAAGCTCCTGGCAACGTGAAGTGAAACGTCGGACATCATGCTGAACAACACGTGGTACAAACCAACAACACATCAGAGAGCTGTGCAACACAATTCGCCAAAACAATGCAGTATAACTGCAAATGATTTTTAGAATAAAACTAAAAACTGTAACAAACAAAAAATGTTTACCAAGTAAGGCCCACTGAGCTATGTAGCTCTTTTTCAGAAGCGACCTGGCCACAAATGATAGCTCGGCACAGTGGCTTATCGCGTGAAAAGTTATAGCAGCCAAATGCTCTAAATGCATGTTGATTCTAAATGTGGAGGGAAAACCCGGAGGACCCGGAGAAAAATCCACACGAACAGTGGAGAACATGCAAACTCCAAATATACAGCAGGCATCGTAAGGGTCGCGATCGAACTCACAACCTCCTGTATACCGGGCGAGGTAGTTAACATCTTGCCATATATATGTGTAATTACATTCAACACGATCTCTCTACATGAAAAGAATATAACACAACTCTGTGGGCCTCTCATCTCATTGATTCAAGGACATCGTGGCCTTCAAGAGGAGCCTTCCCAGAGGGCGTTTCCTTTTTTTTGTGAGCGTCAACGTCACTTCCCAAGTGCCTGGCAGCGGCAATGAGCCAACGTCTGCCAGCATTGAGGATGAGTGCACCTCGTTGAAGAGCAATCAGTGCCACTAAACCCGAGTTACCATTTCGCTATTGATTTAGAGCGGCTGCGATTGACCGGGGGGATGATCCTGTGACACGGGAGTGTCTGGGCATCGGGGAACGCGTTTATTCATGAAGCTCACTCTCTCGTTCTTTCTCTCGTAGCCCCTTTTTTTGGGACCGTTGGGAGCAGTCTTCCACTGTTGGGAATCTTCGTCATCATCACATGCCATCTGTTGCTGATGTTTTCATGTCATCCATCTCTGTTAGAGTTCCTCTTCCACTCCAGCAGTCCATCTCTTTCGTCTGCTCTCTGCCGCTGTTTTCTTCCTCGAGAATTGCCATCGATTTTCTGTATTCCTGTTGGGTGGCATTTATGAAGCGTTGCATCGGACCGCCAATTCAGGCTGGGCGGTGCAGCGCCCGCAACTGTCAGATTAGATTCAAAAGGTCATTAATTAAAATCCCAGGGTGGATACAATGAATTACCCACTTCCTGGGAGGTCAATTTTCCAGCGCATAGACTTGCCGTAGGAATGCGTAATTTCCAGCACACTCTCAGGAATGAATGCCATCCTGTGCTCCTTTGAGCAGGAAACCATTTTGAATTGTTGTGACTATGATGTGCAAATTAACAACGGCTGTCCCATGGAGAGTCTATATCCCGCCGAGGGGGGAAAATATTGAAAATTTTAAACCGCTTGCTTGAGGTTGACAGTGGAGGAGCAGTCCGCCGCAACTCGAGAACCCCGTTCACCTCCGTTATGACACCATGGGGCTGCAGGAGAGAACAAACTATCCCCACCGTCTCCAAGTGTTATCATGCCTTGGGCATCTCTTCTCCTTCAGTTCCTCGGGCCTCCTCCCAGCCCCCCCCCCCCCTCCTGCCGCTGTTCCCCCATCCCCCGCGAGCATCGCTCAGGCATCGCTCAGGCAACAACGACAAGCAAACAATGGAAACCGCATTAATGACCACATCAAGCGGTGAATGAATGAGCGAGCGCGACCTTTGCGCAGCACCGCGCGCCGTCGTCTGCGACAGCCTGATGAGCGTAGACGTCTCACGGCGTCGGAAAGGACCCGCCTGGCTGTCTGTAAATTCTGTGCGGTGTGCTGTGAATCAGAGAGCCATTCCTCGAAAAGTTGGCCGATTGCATATCGTGATTTTTGAGGCCACGCGCGGTATTTTTGACGATTGTGTTGAATTTATGTTTTGTGTCTGTTCGTCTTTTTGTCATTTGTGCTTGTTGCGGCATTGACAACACAGCAGTTTCGCCAAATGATTCGTTTTCAAACAGTGTGGGTGTATAAACAGTGAAAGGTTTAAAACGAGTACCGAAAGCAATGCTCATTGATCGGGTGTGGGGTCAGAGGCCTCAGATCAGCTCAGAGGGCATCACACTTGTGCAAAGTGTGCAAAGTGGAGATGCAATGAGACATCTCCGCTATACAGTCGCTTGCTTTCCGGCACGTGTGTCAGAATGTACGTGTGTGCGCATATTGAACTTCTTTCACACCGTACGTAGCCAACCGTGCTAATCGAAGGTGCGGGGGAAGGACAACAAATTAAACACGAAAAGCAGTTCTGAAGAAATTCGCTTGCAAATCTTGATTTAAACGATGACACGGATTGCCAGTGCCTCTTGGATGTTGCTCGGGCCGCGGCGAGCAATTAAAAACACAAAACAGCAGTCCGCATGACTACGCGCTCAGAGTTAAGTTTAGTGTGTCATTCGCAACGGAGCAAAGTGACGCGTGTGGTGCCAGGCCTCGCGCCGTGGATCTCTGAGGAACGAGGCGGCGAATTTGATGGAGGATGCACGCGGCAGCTCTGAGACGGCGTGCCAAGCCCTCGCGGATTCCATAACCGGCCATTAGCGGGAGCTCGCTGGATTGTGAGATTTATTTATTTTAAACGCCACCAGAACAACGGCAGATGAAGAAAGTGACCTAAGCTGTGCGAGCGTGACCGCGAGGTCACGCTGAATGCCCTGCGATTGGCGTCTATCAGCCTAACGCCACCGCTCCCTCCCGCCCCTGGCTCTGCCGCAGACTCCATCGTCATCGGATTCTGGGTCGGCATCGCCTCGTTTGTCCTCTTCATGTTCTTCATCCTCGTCATGCTGGTGCGGTCCGGGACGACAGAGTGAGTCCACCCTGCCACCGACACAGATGCTCGCCTCGCGGGAGGCGATGTTTGCGGGGAATTGTTGAAACTTTTGGGCTCGGTAGCAATGCACCGCTCCCTGCTGCGTGAAACCAGAGGTCCACTTAAAGGGATCTTAGAAGTGGCTCAATAATATTCATTTCCTTGGGCCGCTCTCTCTCTCGTGAAGAGTGGCCTTGCTCTGCGTGGAGCCCCAAATGCATATCTGTCAACCCCATCACGGTTTACTCCGTATTCTTGTGCAGGGAAAATGAGTTTTGAGGTCCATACGGCGTACAGCCATTTCAATACGGGCAAAAAAATGTGTGTGTTTCTCCCTTGTGATGGGACTTTGTAGGATGAACGTTGAGATTTATAAGGGCACGCGGTGCCCAAAAAGGTTTGAATTGGTCTGTTATAAGGTAGGCACCGATAAGGGGTTGACAGGTATGGAAATTCGTCATTTGTCTCCTGACAAGACACCAAAAGGGGTAAACGGGAAACAAAATAAGAAATAATACCAAACCGGTCAAGATCGGACTGCTTCGCTATAAAATTTGCGTCATTCTCTGTATCATCTGGTGACCAGCGGTGTGATGATTCGTGACGTGATTGAGTGAACAAGATTCTTTCTCAGCGGCAGATATTCGTGATGAGAACGTTTTGGCCTTGAGAGATAACTTAGCTGTAGGTGCGTGTGTGATGTCACCAGTGGCGCACCCAGATCAAATATTTCGGTGCAGGAAAATTGTAATAGAAACAAGTCAATCATTTTTTGGGGAAACGAAATTTCTTGCATTTAGCTTTAGGTTTTCACTGTATAATATAAGCCAAATTTAAATATGCATACATTTTTAATGGTATTTATTATTTACTTATTTCCAAGTTTGAATGTAAATCTAAAAAAAGTATTTGATGATTAAAAAAATGGCTGTTTAAACATTTCTGGGGGGTGGGAGAAATTGTTCCCCCACCCGCCCCGCCCCTCACCCCGCCCCTCACCCCGCCCCTTCCCCCCACCCGCACCTCCCCCCAACCCGCCCCTCCCCTCACCCCCCACCCCGCCCCTCCACCCTCCTTCCCCCGGCCCTCCCCCCCCACACCTCACGAGGTGCACCGCTGGTTGTCATCACCATCCACATTTTCATCACCTCCACTACAATCATCATATTCACTACAATCATCATCACACCAATGTTGACCATTGTCTTTAGATTATCATCACTGTCATTATTATTGTTGTCTCCATCATGATGTTGTTTTCATTGGTGTGCTTGTTCTTTATATCGTATTATAATTATTATTTGACATCACCATCATCAGCCACACGAGCATAACCCATCGCCATTATCGTCACCGGGGTCACCTTCAAGTGTGAGACTCCTGCACACACTTCAGGGAGTCAGTCAATGGCTCGCTCGCTCTCTCACCATTCTAAATCAATGACTTAATTTGTCGTGAATTCGGTCCCCATCTTTACCTCCACTTAATTGAAGACGTAGCCAAAAACAAATGTCCCCCCTACATTGTGGGCACACAACTGCGGCTGCCCCCAGTCTGACGAACGTGACTTTGAAGCTTTACAAAATAAATACAACCCTTCATTTTAATCACGCTGTCTCGGGCTGATCTCCAGAAAAAAAATTTCACCCGCACGCCACGTCTCGTACACCCCTTGCTAACAGCACCCTGGGAAGTAATCGTGAGACATTGAGCCGGACATTTTAACGATGTGGCAGCAGTGTCGCTTGTGGGAGGGCTGAGAGCAGCTACCTCCCCAAACTTGTTCATGGAAGCCAAGTGGCTGACATTGTAGCTCATGAAACACCCTCTTGAGGCGCTCTCTTGAGCTTCCCTCTCTGTACGTACGTTGAACTTCTTTAGCACCGTACGTAGCCAACCGTGCTAATCGGAGGTAATTGGAGGGGGAGGGGAAGGATAACAAACTGAACATGAAAAGCAGTTTGTGTTTACTTTGTTGTCCTTCCCCCCCACCCCCGCACCCTCTGATGGAGGCCCATCTGCCAGCAGCAGTGCAAACAGTTGCGGGGCTTTATCTGCGTGACAGCTATGTTTTGAGAGGCGAGAGAGGAGCATCCCTGTGACTTGTTCATGGAAAATCCAGTGACCGGCGTCGTTGCAGCTCTCGGGGACCGAGCGTGCGGCGGAGAGCGCACGTCCTGCCGCGGAGTCCCAAGGCCGGTGAAATGAGCTCCGTGATCGAGCCGGGTTTCGGCAACAGGCGGGACGACGACGACGACGCTGATGAGGAGGAGGAGGAGGAGGAGACGGCGGCGATGACATGCATGCACCGCGAGCTGAGGCCCGGCCGCGCCGCGCTCCTCCACGCCGAGCAGGAGGGCCCTGCTGCCATCGCCATGGCCACCACCAACACCGCCGCCGCCGCCACCGCCACCTCCATCCTCTACCACTCGGACAGCTTCGACATCCCCAACCTGATCTCCGAGTCGCGGGTGGACGCCGCATCGGTGACGGCCGACGTGAGGCCCTCCCTGTCGGATTAGCGGCGACTGACGCCGTATATGTCAATGCCTACTGTGTAGGTGTCAGCAGTTGTCCGCCCTGCGCCCCCACATGATGCCAGTGGTGCACTCGAATCTGCTGGTTCGACTTTATGGCTCAGACACGTCGGCGTCGTGAACGGCGAGTGCCAACTATCGCCGTGTGGCCACGTCAGACGGACGGTGCGAGAATGACGCAGCCCACGCAGTGAGCCGCGTCGGGGTCGGCACGTCGAGTGAGAGATCAAGCGGTGACTGGAAGCGGTCCAGCTGGCCGTGCGAGATCGAGATGGCAGCCCCTCTGCTGCGGAGGCATCGACTGCTGCGAGTGGTGTGGACGCTATAGGAGCCTCTGTCGGTCGAGCAGAATAGTAAGCGGTCGTAGGTTAGACCTGTGATTTGTATTTGTTGCGCATGCTACCCGCTGTGTTGTTCGCTCTTCTGGTGACAATAATGCCAATTCAGGAACTGAATTGGAGCGAAAAACGATGCACATGATGCCAAACAATAAATGGTACAAAGTCATAAGCGCATCGGGGAGCTGCTATACAGATACCATTACGATTGCGCTTGACCGACAAAGGATCGGAGTGCCCAGCTGGTTGTGCGATTTGGCGTTGTGTTGTCAGACGAGGTCCGTTTGGAGCTGTGGAAGAGCAGTGGCGACTCCGCGTGTCTGAGAGTGGCTCCTTGGAAGCAGATTTCACAGAACTTCTTCTGAGATCCCTTCAAAGCGGCTTTTTTTTAGCCACAAATTAGGGGCACTGCACTTTTCTGCATGCCCTGCCCCGGGGAATGTTTGTCTCATGGCAGTCAAACCAAATAATTTGAACTCAATACTGCTGCTCTGTAGGCAAATTAACAAGGAGCCCTAAATTAACGTGATGTGTCCTGTGCAATCAGTGCTGTAGGGATGAGGCCGTCAACACACACTGGGCTTGAGGACCCGGTTGAATCACAGGTGGTTGATACATATATTGATAGAGATTATACATCATCATGGGACCTCCTTTGCCAGTACCAAAATATGAGAATAGGTTTTCCCCTTTTACCTGGCAACAAAACAGGTGTTAAGATTTTTGATTTAAAGCTTTCGTGACTGCAGTAATTCATATTCTTAGTTTTTTCGGTAAAGTCACGTTGAAGAGAAACAACAAAATAACAAAATATATATAAAACAATAAAAAATTCTCACGACGTTTCGACCATAACTCAAACGGTCATCATCAGGTGTGTCGGTTTGCATAAATGTATTTTAAAAAACGGCACATTTATTTATTTATAAAACGTTGGCGTCACGCGCAGCGATTGGCAGTTTGCCCAGGACTAGTCCATCTTGTGGTCAGAATGCAAACAAAAAACAAACTCTGATGATCTATGCATTGTCTTTGAAACTGATTGGTCCACACCAGAGACAGCTTTCCTTGGTGTTAGACCAGAGGATGCCAAAAGGCGTCCTCTGGTCTAGCACCATTTGAGACCAGGCTCCAAGGAAAGGTGCAATGCATATATTATGAAGCTTTCGTGACTGCAGGAATCCATACTCTTTGGTTCTTTCGGTAAAGTCACGTAGGTATAAATAAAATAAAACAAAAATATAATTATTTTATTTTATTTCCAACTACGTGACTTAACCCAAAGAACCAATGAGTATGAACACCTGTTTTTGTTGCCAGAAAAAAGGAGAAAACCCATTCTCAGATTACACATCAATGTCCAGATTTAATATCTATTGGATGTCTTCAAGAGGAGCAACATGGATGTGTTTCAGATCGCCGTTGAATGATCTGACTGGGCAGTCGTTCACGAGGTGTTGCACGGTCTGGATCTCAGTGGTACAAAGTCAGCGCTGACTTTCTGTGCCACCCGGCCACCCCCTGGTGGTATTATATGAATGGAAATTAACCCGTGGGGCCCAGTCAGACGTTATCGAGCCTGTGTAAAGGATGCCAGACGTTGCATGTCACTCCCTTGCGTGGAATCGACCTACATTTTCCTGACTGCGGCTTGATGGAATTGGGTTTTTGCACGGCGAACTCCGTGGGAATTCAGCCACTTTTGCTGGTGGTCATGGGCGTTGCGGAATTTGGATGGACACACGTGTTCGGCCCGCGGTGGAATTGGGTTGGCGACTTATATTCTAAGCCTCTCGTAGAATCGGTTTTCATGGTAGCACGTGCCACCATTGGAAATCCGATTGAATATTAAGAAGCCCCGAACTGTTAACTGTCATAGAGTGATGATAAATATTGGGGTGAGGATAAATATTGTACAGCCAAATAGCTGAAATGTTACATTTCAACAGCTATGGGGCTTCCCCCCCCCCCCCCCCCAAATATGCAATGGTTGAGCTGTTAGCATCGTGCCGTGTGATAACTTTGCAGTGCGCCATCCTGCGTTGGAGAACGGCCCCCAGAAAATGAAGTGGCAGAACTACTTAAGAAGCCGCTTCAATATACCCCTTTAAGCACGCTAAGTGCACACATTTTGCATGCCCTGCGAAGAGTTGCGGTACCTCGTTCACACAATCGAAATGTGGAATTCGTGGAAATGGAAAAGAGGAATTCAGTGAAAAAGCTATTTCGAGAAGCCGGTGTTATTCACAGGTGGCTGAAAGCATGGGCAGAGTTTGCGGGGGGAGGGGGGCAATAACCCCCCAAAACTTGACACCTTTTTTTCAGTAGTTTAGAAGAAATTTAATCATTTATACCTGCGATTCCTAATGTGAAAGACAAAGTGATCCCCTGCCCCCCCCCCCCCCCAAATAGAAAATTCAAACTCCGCCTATGGCTGAAACCCAGATTCAAACTGAGGATGTCAGTGGTGCCGGTTCAGGGGTCTGGCTCTGTAGTGCCAGTGGGCCAAGCTACCCAGCCACCTCTCAGCATCAGTGTGTATACCCAGCTCTCAAGAGAAGTGAATTAAAGGGATCTCGGAGGACTCTCGTCGCGTTTAATAAAAGGCATTTTAAGTGGGATCACCATTGGCTGGCTCTATGTGACAACGATCTATTTGTAAATAAGTTATAATGTATTTATAGTCCCCTTGAGCCACTAAACACACACACACACACACACGTGCAGTATATATTTGTATAGCCATTGTGTATATCAATAACAGGGCCGCCATAGTGTCAACCTACATGCAGCTTGAGCTGCCCTGTCTAAACCTTGCCAAATAAATGAAACGATGAAAAAAAGTTCACAGTGAAAGTGCGATTTTTTTATTTTACTGGTTCAGAGCAAGGCTCCGTTATCGCTTTTTCACCGCACAACCACGCCAGGGCCATCCCGGCACACCTCATGATGAGACGCCGGGTTTGTTTTCCCTCTGCAGAAGCTGAGCCGTATCGCTGGCGTCAAATGCGAGGAACGCATGTGGCGCCAGCGTGGTGCCACATGTACGGCGAGATCGTTAACCCCGTCTGTGGCCGTGCTTCACCCCGCCAGTCAGGTGCAGATGCCTCGTGGCTCCAAGATTTCACGGTTTGGTTCTGAGCTGGCTGGGCCAAAGACGTTCCGTCTTCCCAGCAGCCCTCTTTCAGCCAATGTAATGTATCTTCGCCACCACCTGCTCTGTCGTCGAGTGGTGTGTAGGCCAGACAACTCTTCGCGTAAAATCGTCCAAATGGCACCTTAGTAAACACTACTGCTGCCAGACCACCAAGATTATATGGCCTTCCAAAGATACACAAAGAAGATACACCCCTTCGTCCCATCGTCTCTACTATCAGCTCCCCCACCTACAAACTGGCACGTTTTCTGGCTGATATACTGCGACCTTTCACTGGAAAAACCACCTCTCCGGTACTAAATTCTACTCACCTGGTATCGACAATCAAATACATTTCCCTGTCCCCAAACGACCTGCTTGTCAGTTTTGATGTGGTGTCCTTGTTCACCAAAGTCCCGGTACCTGACACCATCGCTATCATTGAAGACCTGGTTCATCAAGGACTGCATACTGATGTACCCCCCCTGGTGAGACATTGCTTAACCAACACATACTTCACCTGGAATGGAACTTTCTACAAACAAACTGAGGGCACCCCAATGGGCTCCCCCCTATCTCCGGTTGTAGCCAACGTATTCATGGAAAAATTTGAAACTGACGCCATCCAGACTGCCACTCTACGCCCGACCTTATGGAAGAGGTACGTTGATGACACCTTTGTCATCTGGCCACATGGCCAGCCTGCTCTAGACCAATTCCGCGACCACATCAATTCCATACACCCAGCCATCAGATTTACCATGGAGGTCGAAAAAGATGGCAAACTACCCTTTCTGGATGTCTTAATTAAAAGGAGACATGATGGTTCAATGAGCCACTCTGTCTACAGGAAAGCTACCCATACAGATGCTTACTTGAAACCGGATTCCCACCACCATCCATCCCAGAAGAACTGCCTCATCAAGACTCTATACCATAGAGCCCAATGCATTTCCGACCAGGAACACATTACCAGTGAACTCAAGCACGTACACCAGGCTCTCAGGGCTAATGGCTACTCCGACTACACAATCCGCAAAGCCATCACTCCAGTCATGAAGAAGGATCCTCTTGTGGAGCCACTCAAAACCATCACCTTACCCTACATTGCAGGGGTCACTAAAAAGATCTCCAAAATCCTGAATAAACACAAGATCCAGGTCCGATTCAACACAGTACACAAAATCCGTGATTTAGTTCCATCTGTAAAAGATGCTCTTCCAGACATACAGTACCCGGGCGTTTACAAACTAAAGTGCCTCTGTGGTAGTAGCTACATTGGAGAAACCAAAAGACATATCTCGGACCGCATCCGCGAACATAAAGCAGACTTGAAACACGGTAAGACGAACTCCTCTGCCGTGGCAGATCACTGTTACAATTCAGTGGGCTCACATGACATTGACTTCTCCAAGACGGAGGTTCTTTGCAAACCAACTGGCTACCATGAGAGATTCGTTCATGAGGCCATTCACATATACAAGCACAGAGACAATTTCAACCGAGAAGATGGATTCAGGCTTAGTAACCACTGGAAATATGTGTTAAATCATTTCTGTTCTTAATTAATTGTAATTTTACGATGACCTTCAGACCGCAGCTCTTTCGCCAGCATTGCCTCTTAATACCTCTCACACCACGGTTAATGGTATGGTTTACAACATGGAGTATACTAGGGCTTCGCAGCTGTCTCTCTCCCCCTCCTCTGGTCCGACCATGGACGAACTCGTCCGTCTGAACGGGGCCCGTAGCTATTCGTGGTACGGAAATTTGAGGGTAAGAATCCACCCATTTTTTCGCCATACAGCATTGTGATATAACGACTTATTGTTGGTAGCTTAGCTGATTGGAGAATATAGAGTTTATTGATAACATGAAGGTAATTTATATTTTAGTTTTTATTGGTTCACTATATAGTACTGTGAATAGCTCAGATGTGTAGTCATTTCTGTGACCAGTCACTAGCAAATCACCCAGTTATTTCAATGCTAAATTCGCCTAGTTATTTCAATGCTAAATTCTCCTGTTTGATTTGTACTAAGTGCCTCGGTGAATGTGTATGCTCTGACTTCAACGTAACTATTTCTGTAGCAGTTACAAGCGAATCACTCAGCCATTTCAATGCTAAATTCTATGCTAATCCCATTATCAAGGGGTGCCTCTGCGGATGTGTATGCCTTAATTTAGCTATTTCAATGCTAAATTCTATGCTAATTCCTTTTAACAATGGGTGCCTCTGCGGATGTGTATGCTTTAACTTTTAACATAGCTATTTCTGTGACCAGTCACAAGCTAATCATTCAGCCATTTCAATGCTAAATTTTATGCTAATTCCTTCGTGAAGGCTCTTTGTTCCTCTCACACAGCTTAAAAGCCGTGATCTGAACGTGGCCCTCTCACTCCAGCGCTGTCCTACCAGACAGTCTCGCTCCCTTCACCTGATGAAGGCCGCTTGTGTTGTGGCCGAAACGTCGTGAGAATATTATTGTGTTATTTTATTTTATCAATTTATTATTTTATTCTCATTCTACGTGACTTTACCGAAAGAACCAAAGAAGACTACTTCAGCAGTTTAACTCCTGTTGATTGCAGCCCAGATCCTTGACACTGCTCATCAACAGCCAATTGGCTGTTTGTTGCGATTGTGGCAGATCTTGCTCTCTTGTCGCTACCCCTCATGATGCCAAACTGCCCGCGTTACCCATCCATCGTCTGCGCCTAGTGCCGATATTCTCGCTGTTCGGACCTCAGACGGAGATTTATCTCCCAGGAGCGGCCGTGCGTTCCCTGGGTGACAAGCAAGGCTCGTTTTCTGTTATTTACACCGCTTATCTATCGTTCAGCTCATTAGACATGCAGGCAGGCTTTTGACAATTAGATTAGCAAAACTGGTATGACCTCCCCTGTGTGGTTAAAACACCATGGGTTTTTTGCACAGGTGGTGTTTGAAAGACAGACATTTTTATTCCGTTTGATTCCTTTTATTAATGAAAAATACAAACTTTACAGAAATCGTAGAAAGATCAATTATGCTTCTACAAATGATGTTATTTTCGAAAAGGCAAAGTCAACTTTACCACTAATAGCCAAAGTACTTCACGTATGCATTGGTAAATAACTACTGCTATTTTGTTTAACTAAGGCTAAATAAAACATGTACTAATCTGCGATGAGTTACATGCCCTTAACTAACGTAAAAACGTAAGTTTATTAGCAAACAAAACAACCGTAGAAAATACTGCAGAAATATAATGAATGCTTTGTGTTAAAATTACGAACTACCTTCAATATATAAGCCCATTTGGTCTGAGAACCGCAGATGAGCGCTCAGTCACCCGCAGACAATTATCAAGCCAAGTAATTATTTGCCCCAGCAGTCACATTATCAACCCACCAATTGAGCTAAAATTACCGGCACCCCGCTTGATTAAACATTGGCATTCGGCGTGCCCACCGTGTTAATTTGTAAAACAACCCATATACGTTTAACTATTCCTAACTTTGGCAGCAATGGCCCGTGGGCCCTCAGATGCTAGCAAAGCTTCGTATGCCCCCTTGTGTTTTAACAAAACAACAACAAAAACCCTCTGGATCCCACAATAAAGTCGGCCAAAAATTAACACTGCCCAATATTCAGGCGCCCACCGCTATAAACAGGGCTTAATTTCTCACTGTGCATTCCGGGTCGCCGGTCTACTGACTGGAGTAGGCCTAGAAAACCGGACCGTAGGGTAGCCACAGCCTGAGCTCTGCTGGATGTGCTGTGCCTGGGCACAGAACTATTTTCTAGGCAATCGCCTCTGACAACACCATGGCTAGAATGATGCCCTGACTTTAACCGCCGTACGCACGGGAGTGTTGGACACAAGGTTTGCCACCTCTTAGGTAAAAAAAAAAAACTGGGACATATCATTGGTAGAAGAATGTCTCACATTACCCGAAACTGATCATCTTGAGTGTTGTATTGTCACACAATTAATGCAACAAAAACCGCGATTGTTAAATGTTTAAGGCCCCGAGAAGACTTAAGAGTTTTCCATCAAAATGGCCACCTCGCATAGAGGGACGATCTCGCGAAACAGGACGAGGTGGCGAAACCCTCCCCCACCCCCGCCCCGCCCCCCGCCCCCCGCGCTTCCCCTCAATACTCGTCCGTGTTGTCGTAGTCGTAGTAGTACTCGCCGTCTTGCGCCCCCGCCGTCTGCTCGTCCTCCCCGTCGCCGCCCTCCTCTCCGTCGCAACCAGGCGCCCCCCCGGCCGTCTCCGCCGCCGCCGCCGCCGCCGCGGCCGCGGCCGCGGCCCCGTCGAGCCAGCTGCGGCCCGCCTGCGCCGGCGGGGACCGGCAGACGCCGGCGCGCACCTCGGCACGTCGGCGGCGCACGAGGGCGCGGCGCGTCTCGGCCAGGGCGCAGTCGCAGCGCCACGGGTTGCCGTCGAGGTAGACGCGCCGCAGGTTGGGCGCCGGCGTGAGGGCGGCCGCGGGCAGCGTCGAGAGGCGGTTGTCGCGCAGGTTGAGCACGCGCAGGCGGTGCAGCGGCGCCAGCTCGGACGCGCGCACGCTCGCGATGGAGTTGCCCTTCAGGTCCAGGCGGGTCACCGACTCCGGCAGCCTGCGGTTGGGTGAAGTCCGGCGCGCCAAGAGGAGACGTTCACCAATTCGGTCGGGGTGGAGTGGGGTTTATAAGCGTGTGGCACAAGAAATAACGTAGCGCTTATACCCCCCCCCCTCCCCCCACTTTGCCACTGCTTACCTGTCAACCCATGCAGTTTGCTCCGTATTATTGTACAGGGAAATTACATTTTCAGGTCCATAAGGCAAGAACAAAAAACGGTATCTATTTGTTTGTGTTTCTCCGTTGTGATAGGACTTTGTAGGATGAACGTTGAGATTTACAGGGCACGGGGTAACCAATAAGGTCTGAATTTGTCTGTAGTAAAATAGAAGGTAGGCAGTGATAAGGTGTTGACAAGGATGCCACTGGCACGTATGAGCTGCGCAGGCGTGCAGCCCTTACAACGCAAGTGGTTCACCAGAACTGAACCGAGAAACAATGAACTCGCAAGACCCCTGTATCTAAGAATCGGAATATGTATTTCCACTGGAGGAATCCGATGAGCTACAAAGCTCTCTTTCACAGATGTAAAAGAATCTGGATCGAGGCCCCAAGCATAGCCTAGGGCGTGCGATTAATAATTTTTTGGACATTGAAATGTGATTTCAGCAGCACACCTCGGGTTCTGCATTGGAAACAAAAAATAATCTGGTGCCTCCTGAGCCACACCGGGCTGCCTCAGTCCGGCTCCAGCACAGCTTGGTTGTACAGTGGAAAAAGAGGTTACTTGGTGGATGTGTGTTGTGGGCTCTCATGAGTTTATATAAAATTGTACAGCCCATTTTGTCAATCCCTGCCTGTGCTGTGCAGGTCGCGGGGGGTGATCTAACCTAACCTCACGACGCTGGCCTGTGAAGGTTGAAGGCGGGCAGCACAGACGTGGGAGCATATAAGTACGGGACGACAGTGAGATTTTTTCCGCGCTATCCTCTGCTGTCCACCACGCAACCCCAGAGTCCTGACGTGAGTCGAGAGCTTTGTTCGTGACAACAGAAAAGACTTTGAAGTTACGATCGGGCGCACCACTTGCGGCACTCCTAAGAAGCGACTGTAATGTTACCCGTGCACAGTATAATGTGGCCGTGCAGTGACGTCCGCTCTATAAGTCGTTGTGTCTCATGAATAAAGACTACGGCTTGGGGGCGGGGGGTCATACAGGCTGTGTGGTTTGCATCCTCGGAATACATGTGCTAGAAAGACACTGTTCGAATTTTCAGTTGGAAATTTATTTAAAGGTTTCACTCGCTGCTGGGCGGTGCAATAGTTAGAATGTGTGGTTCGCATGCAGAAGGGGGTTAGAGGATGTACCCGGCTCATCATACCTCAAAGGTGGTTAAACTAGGCACCACTTTGCGGGAAGTCAGAATCGGAAATGAGAATATTTATTTATCCTGCTGGAGGAATCCGATGAGCTATAAAGCTCTTTTTCACAGATGTCCAGTAGGGGTGGGTAAGAACGTTACAACAACATACACTACAAAAACGGCGGTTGTCTCGTGTTTACTGACTCCTCCCGTTATGGGAATGTGGAATTTCCCCAACTAGTTCTGATGCATTGCCCAACTCTCTTTTCTGCAAAAGGGGTAGTTATTAAAGCTTTTTGCCGAGTTTTGAAAGTGCTTATGCCTTAGCGCTTAGCTCGACCCGTCTCCAACATGGGCTCCAGATAACTTGCGTAAAGATAAGCCTTTGAAAATGAAATATTTAGCCTCGTGTTGATTTCATATTTAGGGACTTACTTTCGGAAAAAGATACGGGCAAGTTGTTTTAAGGGCTATACCGAAACCTTGACGATAAAAAAAACGAATGATGGAAGTCTTCTTGGCCAAATGCGATGATGGTGCACGCCGTGCACACGCCTACGCACCCAATGTTATCATTGCACGTGGACGTCATTATTTTGTTCATTTAAAATAAAAACCACCAGGAGAGACGCACGCTGGGAAGCGTTACTGAATCCATCGCGCGTACATGTACATTTTTATTCCTTGTTGACTTAATGGGCTTAGAAGTGCTGGCACAACGCACTTGTAATCTAATGGTACAAACAACTGTTTTAGGTTTCGATTTAAAGCTTTCCTGACTGCAAGTATTCATCTTCTTTGGTTCTTTCGGTAAAGTCACGTAGAATGAGAATAAAATAATAAATTGATCAAATAAAATAACACAATAATATTCTGATGAAGGCCGCTTGTGTTGTGGCCGAAACGTCGTGAGAATATTATTGTGTTATTTTATTTTATCAATTTATTATTTTATTCTCATTCTACGTGACTTTACCGAAAGAACCAAAGAAGCTGTTTTAGGTGTTGTAGCTTTGGGCCAAATTGATTTGTGTTAAGCCATATAGTAATTGGATACGTAACATACGGCGGTGAAGTGAGTCCATTTGATCACAGGAGCCATAACAGTGGCCGTGCATTATTGAATCATCTATGCACATCGCAATTTGATTCACGTGCTACTGTTGCTGCGCTTTTCCAGGGTTCGATTTCTCGCAGCAGGCAAATTGATGGCACCAGAGTTTGTCCAGCAAATGCCAACGCTGTCGTGGCGCGATGGTCTAGCCCGCTGGACTTGGCGTCCAGAGGTCACTGCCACAATCCCCGGCAGTTAAAACAACGGTGCGAGTTTATTAAATGCCACAACCGCCCACCTCCCCCCCCCGCCCCCCACTGCCGCCTGCCTCTATCTGCCCAGCAGTATCAATGAGTACACCACATCCAATCGGCAGGCAGCATGTGATGGGGTAAAATTGTTGTCCTTCCCCCGCACCTCCAATTAGCACGGTTGGCTACGTACGGTGCGAAAGGAAGTTCAACGTACATACAAACAAATGTGGATACTCCCATCTCTTCCAGGACATCGGGGCCAGCATCGAAGAGTAAGCCAAGTACCCTCTCGTAGAAGCCCTTCCACCAGCAGCGGCGTGATCAAGCAATTTCAGTGCTGCATCTTGACCTTTTTTACAGCCTACTAACCTTCTGTGCATACTAACCTCGTTAATAATAGCCTGCGAGCTAAATGGTCATAACATGCTTTCACAAGCGAGGCAACTTAGAGCATATTGGCCTTATTAACATGAGCTTTCTGTGACCATCCAATTATTGGCCACAAATCTTGACCCTGGCCCCAACCATAACTTGTATGACTACACATAGGGCATGTTATTTTGCTCCAAGGCCACTTTTATATTTGGTCTACAGTTATAAATCCAGGAGACGGCATTCGAAAAAGCAGGGAATGCTGTCGCAGTACCAGATCTCACGTTCTAAATGTAAACATCACCTTCAGCTCAATTACACATAAATAGGCATAAAAAAAATTCCCCCAATATTTTTTTTCACAGGAAATATTTCATGTTTGTGGGATTTCACTTGGCTAAATAAGAAATAGAGAAAATGTATTTCAGAGAATTGTTGCTTCATAAATTATCACATGCAACCAGGTGAATTTCCATAATTATTATATTTAACCTTCAGCAAGGAATATGTAAAGAATAGTCTCTTCTAAACAAGCATTTTTGGTCTCACTATTTTTGCTGTGGGTTTATTTTCACAACTGGCCATGCAATGCAAAATACTACCACTGATTATAGCACTGCAACCACATTATCGGTCCTTAATCCCATACGCGGGTATGATGTGCCCATTAAGACGCCCATTGTAGTTTCAATTTATCAATCCGTTGTTGGATGAGCGCCTGCCAACTGGATGGATGGTAGGAAATATTCGATCATAATTTATCACGTTGGTCAGTGTTGATGAAGACAGGGATCGTAGCCGTTGGAGGATAAAGGTAAATACAATATTGGATTTTGCTTTCACTGCCCTATGCTGAGCATGGTGGTCACTCATCCAAGCACAATCCAGTCTCAACTCTGCTTAGCTTCTGAGATCTGATGAGATTGGGTGCATTTCTCGGTGATTTGGTCATTACCGCATCCAAAATCAATTCCCAGTGGTAGCAGCAGTAATGCTGGTGTCAGCAGCATATTTCACTGCAGCTCACAGCTGTAAATGCATGTTCTCAAGATGATGATGATTGATGATGATAGATTGGAAATTACTTGATAATGTTGACTGATGATCACAGTAGATTGATGATGATAAATTGATGATAACGATGGCGATGACGATGACGATGATGATGATGCACCGCATGGATCCGCAATCCGCGGGGAGAGGTGTCGGCAGCGGAGGCTGGGGGTCACCTGACGGGAATGGAGGTCAGCTGGTTCTGCTCCAGGGCGACGTCCGACAGCTTTCCGCAGCCGTAGAGGGCGTCCGTCTCCACCGCGCTGATGTTGTTGTTCTCCAGCAGCAGATGTCGCAGCTCGGAGAGCGCCGACAGGTCGGCACGCGACACGCTCGTCGCTGCGTTGTAGCGGAAGTCGAGCTTCTGCAGCTGCGGGGGCAGCCCCGCGGGCAGCGCACGCAGCTGGTTCCTCGGCAGCTCCAGCGACACGAGGGCGCGCAGCTCCGAGAACGAGCCGTCCTCGACGGACGACAGCCGGTTCTCGCCGACGCTCAGCTCCCGGAGGCGGGCGAGGTGCGCCAAGTCGGCGCGCCGGATCGCCCGGATCTGGTTGCCCTCCAGCGCCAGCGTCTCGGCGCTCGCCGGCAAGCCGGCGGGGAACCTGCGCAGCCGGTTGTGGGCGAGGCCGACGGAGCGGAGGCTCCGCGCCGCGCCGAAGAACGATGCCGGCAGCGACGCCAGCCGGTTCCCGTCGAGCTTCAGCGTGACGAGCCGGGGCAGGGGCAGCGCCGTCGAGCCGAGCGCCTCGATGGCGTTGCCGTCGAGCCGCAGCGAGGCGAGGCTCGCGAGCGGCACGAACGCGGCCGGGTCGAGCGCGGCGATGCGGTTCCCGTGCAGCTCGAGCACGCGCAGGGAGCGCAGGCCCGCGAGATCGGGCGGCCGCACCCCGTCGATGCGGTTGTCGTGCAGGCGCAGTGTGTCGAGGCCCGGCGGGAGTCGGCGCGGCACGGCCTGCAGGCGGTTGCCGGCGAGGTCGAGCGTGCGCAGCGAGCGCAGCGGCAGGAAGGCGCCGTCCTCCACGAGCTCGATGCCGCACGACGACAGGAAGAGCGACTCGAGTGCGGGAAACGGGCGGAAGTCCGACGGCTGTGTGCGCAGGGGAGATGGGAGACAAGGGGAGAAAGACGGGGGAGGTAAACGGGAGAAAAACGGGAGATAATTGGGGGAGAAAGACAGAGGAGATGGACACGGGAGAAAAACAGGCGAAGGATGCTGCTGTTTTTACAGCAATAGCATAAATAATTCCCCATCACCGTCGTCGTCATGAGCCACGGTCGATGAAGCCGCTGCCATCTCTCGCGATCCTGCGAGCGAGCTCTCACATCATTGCCTTAATGTGCAGGCAAGGAACGGCATGGCCCCCATGCCGTGCTCATTGGGAGTCGATTTGTAAGGAGGTACTGGGGTCAACCTACTCGTATACGCACCCTCACAGAGGACATACAGTCATTCCTCGTTATCCGCGAGGGATACGTTCCGGAATAGCAAATTTCGCGGATGACAATATGATAGCCGCCGTGTTCGGGAAAGGACTCCGGCATATTGGAGAGGTTTTATTTTGCCCAGTCTCTGACCTGGTCTCCACACTGTCTCCTGGCCCCTCGCCTAGCTTCCTGACCCACAGATGTGCCCCCGTTAGTTTTCAGCGTGGGGTCTCTCCCGGCCGGTTGCCTGTCGTGGCTACATTACTTCATCTGGCTGTCGCCTGATGAAGCTGGTTGTAATTACTGGTGAAACGTCGTACTCAGATTGTAAATGTTGTGGCATGGCTGGCCAACACACCGGTGTGCTGTACTAGTACACTACACTACTATACAACACTATACACTGTATAGTAGTGTTGTATAGTAGTGTAGTGTTGTATAGCAGTGTAGTGTTGTATAGTAGTGTAGTGTATAGTATGTACTACTATACACTACACTATACACTAGTGCTGTACTAGTGACGGATTGGCCACGTTCTGTTTACGTGACAACCCTTACTAGATTAGGCTGTGTCGGGTGGTGGCGGGTTTAACGACACAACATTTATATATTTACGCGATCCAACACAAAACCTCTATTATGGATGATATTGGTCACGAAAGCGTACTACGAGTTAAACTGCATTACTTCTGTGCGGGGTTGGTGCTTGGTGAAGGTGCTTGGTGGTGATTTCGTGAGGTGCCTGGATGATGGACTGGATCAGCCATATTTTTGTTCTGCCATGCTGGACATTCTAATTTTGTTTAGAGACTTGCTAGGGCATGGCTTTTTGGTGATTGTCGCGGCATTTCTGTGTGGGTCATCGTTTATCTCTCAGCAATGCCCGTGAGATATGTTTTTCCGTTTCATATGTTGTACCTCTCTCTTTTCCCTCTGTCCTAGTGAAATTATAATTTTTTTTATAATTTGTGGGCGAGGAGGTGGGTTATATGTATATGGAGCTTTTGAAATACTGTGACATTCAAGTGAGAATCCTTATCCTTACCCGGCACTCATTCAACACCGTCACAGATTGAAAACAAAAACACACTGGCATGCAATCAACCCAAAGGCCCAAAAACACTACGTGGCCAGCAACATGCAGCACTCTTGATTGAAACACTAAGATGAGGTGACACGAGATGAAACAAACGTTGCTCACAATGCAGGCGCCTTTGCAGAAACCCTCTGCTTGGGAACCTTGGGGGCCTCGCTGGGGCAATTTTCGAGCGGGCCGTTATCAACGGCCAGATTAACAAGGAGACACCGCCACGGGTTCAACAAACGTATAAACACGAGGCGATCGATGAATGCGCAAAAGGATGGGTGGGGGGAAGACACGGTCCGGTCGATGATGAGCCGTCGTTAACGCGAGCACGCATGACCGTTCAAACGTGCTGCAAATGAACGCGGGGGCCAACGAGACCAATCGGTCACAATGAACGCCGCCGGCTCGTCGTGTCAGGACAGAGGTGGGTGAAGAAGGGGGGCGGCTGGGGTCCCTGTGACCTCGCATGACCCACCCCGCTCTGCACACACCCCTCCCCCACCACCCTGACCGTAGAATGGAATTCTCCACAGTAAACATCCTGCACCTGGGCGGCCCCACCAATCGCTTGTGCAATGACGGGGGTGAGAGGGGTGGGGGATTGTTTGTCGGCGGACCGAGCCAAATAAGTCAAAAGGACAAATCAATCAGCCGCTGCACGAATGTGTCTTGACAGTGTCTCCGCTCACCTGGTCAGCAGCACCCAGTTGCTTGCATCCTGTGGCTCTGTGTCTTCATTAGTGAACCATCAGCCACTAACGAAGGAAGCTCGCGTGCGGGGTTACCCTCCTTGACCCCTCCCCAACTTATTACAGCTAAGGTAGGTGAAAGCTATAATAGCTGATAATTACCGTCGTAATAATGGCCAGGACGAAGTCCCATTGTGGGTGTTTGTCAAGAGGGCACAGCTGATGGCGTTGGCTGATGGCGCAGGTGTTGTGGGCCGCTGCTCGTGTAGTGATATCAATTCACCGCTGAATATGATCGTCACCTATTGAGTTGTTTCCAGGGCAACCCTCTTAGCTGCATTATGTCTCAGATGTTAGTTTATTTTTACCGCAGAGATGGAAACACTTCTGCTGGATGAAGACTTCCCCACTAATTTTCACACCTGTCAACCCATGCGGTTTACCCCGTATTATCATTGTACAGGCAAATTGAGTTTTCAGGTCAACACGGCTTACAGCCGTTTCAATACGGCCAACAACAAAAATAAGTTTTTATTTGTGTTTCTCCCTGGTGATGGGACTTTGTAGGATGAACGTTGAGATTTATACGGGCACGGGGTGACCAATAAGATCTGAATTGGTCTGTAATATGGGGTTGACAAGTACGTCTTTTGGTCGTGGTGGCTGTTTGAACATCCTTCACCACACTGGTCAGAGCGGGTTGGTGTAACGGGTGCTCAGGATAATGCTAACACTGGTACTGCTGGGGCACGTTCATGATGGAGGTTTTAATTATGATGGTGTGAATGATGGTGCTGGAAGTATTTTTTTATGATGACAGTGGTGTTAATGCAAGTGGCCAGTGGTATTAATAATTTTGATGGCACTGGTGGGTGTGTGAACGATGCTCCTGTTATAGTTAGTGGTTAACCGTGTTAATGATGATGATGGTGCTGGAACCGGTCGTGTTAATGATAGTAATGGTATTGGTGCGTGTGCTAACGCAGAAGCATCTGTTGCTACTAATGCCGTTAGTGTTAGTGGTTAACGGTGATGTCGGTGATGCTGGAGCCTTTGGTATTAATGGTGGTATTGGCGGGGATGTTAACGCCAGCAGCAGCATTTGCTGGCAGCTGTAAAGGCACTGCTGGAGAACACCATCAGAGCCCCCACCACCCCACGCCGCTCCTTGCCTGCAAGCGGCGGAAGCTGTTGTGCTGCAACTCGAGGCGCCGCACGCCCGCGGGCAGCTCGCTCGGGACGCTGCTCAGCCGGAAGCACCGAGCGCTGGCGCCCGCCTCGCCCGCCTCGCACGCGCAGCCTCGGGCGCAGCCCTCCGCGCCGCTCGCTCCCCACGGAGCCACCGCCGCCACCAGCAGCAGCATCAGCAGCAGTGGGAGCGGCGGCGGCGGCGGCAGCTTCGGGAGCAGAGCGCGATGCTCTGGGCGCGTGCACTGCGCTCGCATGTCGCGCGCCAGCGAGCACTCCGGGTTCGCTCAGTCCACCTGCGATCCACTCGCTCCTCGCACGCACAGGTGACCCACTTTGTTTAGCCCTATCGGGGGAAAATCACGCGTCTCATACATGAATATTTATTCACCCTGGAGGAACCCGATGAACTATAGAGCTCATTTTCACAGATGTCCAGTCGAACTAGGACCCATATCTTAAAGAGAGGGTCCCTTGCCTGTAACATCTGACACTTTAACCAGATTAATTCGACCAAGCCTGACTCTGCTAATGAGCCATTATGCGTTTGAATTCGAACCAGAGTTTGCGTGTACTGACTCAATGCTGCTGAAATGGTGCACTCCCAGAATGCTGTTGGGCCGATGGGTTGTTTAAGAAATATTTTTATTATGTGGAGAGACATACATATGAAGGAGACAATATCGTGCGCTTGTTGATGTCATCAATGTCCACGCCAGCCCTTCGCAACTCTTGACTGTGAGCCAGGCGATCGAAGGTTCATTCACAGACACGGCTCACGTCAGTGGCAGGAGAGAGCGATGCCGTTTCTGGTGAAGCATTCCGGCACGCGGAGCGAAACGTCGGGCATTGCGCCGAACCACGCGCGGCACGACCCGAAAAAAACACATCGGACAGCTGTACAGCAACGACCCCGAAAACGTAACGGTCCCTCATTGTGAGTGCAAATGTTGAGAGAGCCATTTTGTCAACACACTGCTGGATGAGGGCCTACTCGTGCCGTGCAGGTTGTGGGAGTCATTTCACCAAACTTCACCACGCCGGTTAGCATGGGTTGGTAAAGCCGGGGCACGTGTTGGATCATAGTACAGTACAACATGCAACTGTGGGTAGCGGAAAGTGGATATGGAGACTGTAACAGACAAAAAGGTCCCAGTGTACATTGCACACCAAGGTGACAGCACCGTGTATGTTGAACGTGCCTTCATATGTCCTGCACTCAGCCGATGCTGGCCGCTCGCCCAATAGCACGGAGAGCCTGGCCTTTTAGGTTGAGGTATGACAACAATACTGGTTGTCTCCTTATTCAGTATAGCATGGCCATCATGGCCTGCTGTTTCCGTTTGTCCTATGCTGAACAACCCTCTCCCTACACACTTGTACATTCCAGTGCTTGTGCTGATCTTTCAAAATTGGCTATCTGAAGAGAGTCCTAAAAAACAGCAATACGTATATCTGATTTAAATAAAGATCAGCAATATTGTTAAGAACGATCCTATTATTAAGGCATCACATACCACCGAAAATGTGTTCCAGTCTCAAAGGAATCAATGGATGCGATCTTGTTTATCTGGCAGTGAATGTTATTAAATGAACCTTATGGCAGTACCCCGGGGTCACATAGTACCCTGGCTCTCGCATAATCTCCGTGATGCAGTCATTTTTAGTCTGTTGATGGTGGGTGATGCGGCAATCGACTCATCTCGACGAGCTGTGCACGATGCATCACTACGGTGCGTACGAGCGTTCAGGGTTTCAGCGACATCATCCTCGCTGCGTTTCGACATCACGGAGTGTGGCACCGATTTCGGATTGATTGGTACCCCAGTCGCGGAGTTAGGTACACCTCTTGAGAAAAAGTAGTGTCCCAGAAATAAAATATTTAATTGCCTCGGCCATTTACTGATATTTTGTACCCCGGGTTAGCGCTATGAGGAACAATTGTGGCCTCCTGCTGCGTGTTTCTTGCGGTGGGATCTGTGGTGAAGCGGTTGCCACCACCGCACTCTGAACCCAGCGACTTGAGCTTGATTCTGGACCCAGTGGAAAAGTGATATCTGAAACCGGACCCGCACGGACCTACCACACTTCACCGGCCCGCAATGACCAAGTGTGCTGATGTAACTTCAAACAGCCGCCGTGACCGAAAGACACGGCGAGGCCTCCATCCAGAAGTGAATTGAAAAAAGGGTGATAAATAAAATAAAAGGTTAAAAAAAAGTTATCGCATATCTGAGATGTCCAATTTAAATATATCTGTGAAATACCCCTGAACCCCGCACCTCAGATTTGCGCGGATTTGCGCGGTTGCTACGCACGATTGGAAAGAAGGTCAACATCCAAACTCAGAAAACAGACAATGGCTAGTATTTATATGTTAATCTCTCAACAAACTGCCTTCACTGTAGAGCACTACCCTACATGATTACCCACTGTCTGTATTCACAGGACTGATTTCTGCAATCAGCTCAACAATGTTAGTTTAAATGCCGCTATCCTAAACGTGTTTTTCTTTCATCTGACTTGACAATCTTCTTTTTTTATTGCATAAGCTATACTTAATCTTCAACACGTCAGCAACGGTTGGGACAGAAAATATTGCAGAATTGGAGCAGTGTTGAAAAGTGAACTTTGACAACTCACGCGAGTGAAACGTAAAACGAAAAAAATCCAACTTTCACTTCATGGTCAACTTAATGGCACCGAACATATGATTACACAGGAAAGCCTCAAGACTGTGTTTTTTTTCCAGGAGGGTCCTGCCAAGTTTTAACAGTGGAGAGAAATGTTGCTATGTGTAAGCCCAATTTAGTAATTTACTGGTAATTTCATCAGCATTGGGGTGTTTGGCCAATACCGGTTACATTGTATGTGTTTGAACTTTGAGAGGAAACCAGAGAACACAAAAGGAATCCATGCAGTACAGGGGGAGAACATGCATGCTCAACACACCCGAGTTGGGAATCGAACCCAGGAAGATCTTTCTTTGAGGCACAAGTGTTACCATTGTGCCACCCAAAAAAATACTGAATTAAAAACAATTAATCGTATTCATAAGACTCGGTCCAAGAACCTGTCTTTAAGCAGAACACTCAAGAAGACGAAAATACTTAAAGCCTCTTGCTAAATGCTCATGACATGAGCCTATGAAAGGTACAATAGCTGTGAAACTGCAACTATGTGAACACGTAAGCCTATGTTTATGCATATGTGAGCTATGCATCACTGTCCTGTGACAGACGACCATTTAACTAGTACTATATTCACCTCTGCCGTAATTAAACTGTCACGATTCCTGGTCCCAATTCACGGTCATTGTTTTATTCAAATATTTGTTTTGCGTCTCTCTTGCATTGCTCATCTCGTATGCTATTGTCTCGTTTGTTCTGTCTCGTTCCATTAGCCTGAGAGTAACGTCAGCATATAATTTGCATACATTCTAAATAGTTGATTCTTACGCACAACTTTTACGTATATATAGTGGCATCAGAATATATTTTAATTGCCCACTTGGGCAATCGCTACATTTCTGCTGACAGCGCGTGGCTTTTCTGACGTTAAATGCTGACGTTTAATATTTTTTTTAAATCAATTTACCTTGTCGCACATCTCTCCCTAATGCAAAAATTAAGTTATTATTTTAGTTTTTATCACGCTCGGATACTGACACTGCAACTGATAACACGCGTGCACAATAATTGCAATTCTATAGTCTTGCAAATCCAGCGTACGCTAGCTGTCCAACCTTCACAAAATATGTATATATATGGGGTGAAGCGGGTGACCCGAGCTTCTATCCAGATACGGTAAACATCAGTGGCCAGTGACATGGTTAATTTAGAGCTCCTCGCGCAAACAAGGGCAGCCAAGACAGCGTCATATCTAAACCAGCCGTGGTGCCCTCTCCTTCACCGCCCCACATTCACAATTGTGGTAAGGTGTGTTTCAACAATACCCACAACTAACACGGCATGGTGAGGACCTCAACTCGTAGTGGAGTGATAAAGATGCTTCAAATTGTATTTTAAACAAATAGATATATTTGTATGCTTGGCGTGGCAGTTGGAGATAAAGATCTCGTCAAGCAGCATAAACGATCACGCGAACTCCGGTCATCCTCACCGTGGCTTTTGGCTTGCCATTGAGCAAAGACGGGAACACAAAATTCGCGTGCTTTCAGATGCGCTTCTGCGGCCGTCTGGAACGCTCTTCCTTTCGATATTAGGAAGCCACTGGGAGCTGTGCACTTTTAAATCTAGATCCTCATTTCTTAACAACTTATTTTTGCATTCAGTGTGTTGCCCCCCCATCATCTCCGATTAGCACGGTTGGCTATGTATGGTGGTAAAAAAAAATCAACATACGTGGACGTTCATACGTCCCGATGGGAGCGTGTGTCCATGAGCAGGTTGCGTCCGTGCATTAGTACACAGTGACCCCGATGCCTCCCTCCTAATCAGTCCCTAATGAGCACGGCATGGGGGCCACGCTGCGCCTCACCCTGCCATTAAGACCATTACGTGAAATGCCCGAGACGTCAAAAGCGTTGACCCTTTCATCCGTGAAGCGCGATCAGGCTGCGCCCGTACACACACAAAGACAAAGGTCCTCCGTATAGCCTTAACAGACTTTAGGGGCAAGTGCTGTTAGCAAACGCCTATGAAGGCCGGAACGATACACGAGGGGATGGATGGCCAGCACCACGCCCGACCGCCTTTGTCTCCCCGGTGGCGATGTTTTTCGACACACCGCCACAGGTACTCACTTGAGGCTGAGTCGACCTAGGGGAGGCCCAGGACCGTTTCAGATAATCGTCACCTGGTGTTGGCCGTGAGCGGAAATCGAACCCGGTTCGCTAGGGTCGTAGCGCAGCGTAGCGCTACCCGCTACACTACCGCTCCCCACTATGCTCACACACACACGCCCCACCAATTATGTGCACTCACGAGCACTCCTTAACTCAATAGTGTAGAATATTTTACCCGGAGAGACGGACGGTCTATTTGTAATACGGTATAATACATTTGATTATTTTTTTTTTCACAGAACCCGACGAGCTGTGTTTGATTTCTGGACATGGCTAACATCAGAATATTTAGAATGAGAATATGTATTGATACTGGAGGAATCCGATGAGCTATGAAGCTCTTTTTCACAGATGTCCAGTTGGGGCAGGTAAGAACGTTGCAACAACAAACAGTACAACAACACGATAGGAGTGTAAAGTACAAGCAAGGTCAACAAATGACCCCAAACACAAACAAATAAAACGAAACCATCTCCATCCTACCAGGCAAAGCCCACTTTGGT